GAGTAGTTCTTAACCACTCTGATCACACTTCCAACTCTGAAAGGATGAGAATGTCTTGATACGAATTAGGAAATTCTTACATTAATCGGATTTTTTGTTTGTTTTAGGGCCAATGTGGCCATACCATGCTGAAAAACCGGTCTTGTTTATCACTTGTTTTTTTTTCTTTTGCAAGACTTCATTCACTCTAATTATCACCCACATACTGCATGCAAGCTTTTGCAGCGTTTAGTTTGGCAACTTGATGTTATTTTAAACTTCTCCAGCTTTTCTTACTTTCTTCTAAGTGGTTATTTAAAATCTCCTTTCAATAACCGCACGCAGTTATTTAAGAGGTAACGATTAATGGACTTACAAATAATATTCTATTTAATCCGTGATATTAAAGAAAATCCTCCTTTTTCTCTTCGTTCCGTCGAGATGCGGAGTGGTTGAAAGACGGGCTTGGATGTCAGAGATGTGACGTCACTTTCTCTTCGCTCTCCTAAAGCGAAACAGAAACTAAATCAACTGGAAAAGTGGTTTCCCGTTGAGATAAGTACACCAGCGTTGTTGCGCTGCACTCAATGTGGCTGCTTTCTATTTGTATGCAACTTCAACAAATTCTTCTTTTTTTCAACTTATTATGATGAGTGGATAATAGAGTTTTTCTAAGGTTCATGTAAATGTAAAACTTACAGTTACATACTTTTTGTATCATTTCTGTCTATCTAGGGGAACTATTTTTTAGCTGTAAGCTCTCTGGTGGGTGAATCTGATCCTTTCGAAAAAAACAATAAATAGCTAGGGATTTTCCAATGACGTTTTGTAGCGTAGTATCACATTTCTCTTTACTTTTAACATCCGTCCTAATTGCTTTAACGCATACAAATTGTTAGCATTGCGTTAAAATCCTGTTAATTCCCGTTGTGTGGCCGCAATCATGTCAAAAACTTTTCGCCTGAATCACTCTAGAATACAAATGAAAGCCTCTGCATTGCAGTGTTTATTTATATATTCCTTATGTAATGCTACTGTCATTTGGGTTTTCATACTGCTATCCTATGACTTTCAGCACTTCAGTGTATTTATCTCAGTGTATTTATAAATTCATTCTAAGAACTACAGAAGTACATGGAAGTTTCTATGAGCACATTTATTATTTGATCACCCAAATTATTTTTGTGGCTATTTTATTGGTTGTTCTGTGGATTTTCAGGTTTTTACAAACTGCTTCAAAACATTTTCTTGACTAAAAGAAAGGTAAAGAGACATAAACATCTTCAGCGTGTTTTTTCTTTCGGTTTCACTTTATTACAATTAAATTAAAATACTTTTTATTCTGGGTATAATTAAAAATTTTAGAGGATCAACATTACCTCATCGAATTCATGACGGCAAACTAAAGAAAAGCTTTAATTAATTTAAAAAGGAAATTTTTTATAGGGTTTTTTTACTCTTTAATAGAAAAAATTCTTACCGTAATATGGATAGTTTTTGATACAACTATTTTTAAAAGGATAAATATGTCGTTTATTTTCTTTAGAGTTGGTCTCACACCATCATTCTTTTTAGTGTATAACATTTGTATAAACATAAATAATTGTATTTATTGAAGTAATATATATGCATTAAAATATTTTATTCTAGAAAATACTTTCATTTTGATTCAAATAATTATTTAAATTGAGGAAAAGAACACAAGTATAATTGCTCACTTTTCACAAATAATAATAATAATCATGAGAATTTTCTCCCAATTGGCAATCAATTTTGTTTATTGATAATGATAATTGATCATTTAAGTTCATCGAAACAAAGAAAGTAAATAAAAGTGAAGTATGTGTCTAATTATATAGCTGATATATTTGATTTTTTTACAAATTTATCATATACGCATTGATTGTGTGTGAACTGGATAACATGTTCCTTAGTGTATTGAATTATAGTAATTAGTACACGTGCATCCATCTTTATTTATTATTGTACTTAATAACAAGAAAAAGTGGTTTTTCAATCTTAATGTCATTCTAATTTAATGTTTATGTTTGTAATAAGTATCAATAGTCGATACTTGTCATTTAAAAATATACATTTTGAAAAGCCACTGCATTATGACTACATCTCATCCTGAGTAATGAGCTCGCTCAGTGACAAAATCAGGGCTCCCGCACAGCTGTCTTTCCTCTCTTAACGCACGCATTTTTCGAACAACCATTTGGCCGAATTTTTCAAGTAGCTGAGGGCGAAGGGTTGCCGTAAACCAAATGACATGCTCTGACGCCAGCCGCGTTCTATCTCCACATCGAAACATTACTCGCCGATTTTTCTGCTTCGGAAAAAGAACTTCCAATATTATTTCTTTTATTTCGCTCGCACTTTGGTTGACGGACGCAAACAGAAATGGAGCACCATCATTCTCTGTTTAAAACATTATACTCCATTAAATAATATATACCATATCTAATGCGTTTGACGAAGCCGAGGCTTCCACCTTTCATCACCATTCTTTGTCACAATTCGAAATTGGTCCATACTTTTACGTGGAAAATAAAATAAAAGTGTTCGATTGGCTTGAATATTCCGTAGACTTAAATCCTATTCAAAACTGATGGCATATTCTCAGGAATAGTTTCACTAAGATGAATCGCACGACAACAGAGCAAATACTTAAAAGGGTTAAACCAGTGTGTTTCCAAGATGATGAAATCAAGAACATGTGTGCTACTCTAGTGGAGTCAATGCCAAGACGGGTTGAAAAGGTCATTTCTGCTAAAGGAAGACATACCTCGTACTAATATACAGATTTTTCAGTCTATTTAAGATATGTAATGATAAAAAGCTAAGGTTTTAGAAAAAATCACCTTTTTTTATGTGTCCCAATTAATTCGAACAGTATAGTATTTCCTCACACAAATGAATATAATTTAGTTTAGCTTTATTTAAAACTACTGTCAATGATTCTTTTTCATATAATTTGTTAAGCAAGAGTGCCATTTAATGCAATATTTTGTAAAATGCGACGAATTTATTTCATATAAAGTTTTTAAGTAAGGTCTTGTGAAATAAAGTTGAAGGATGACTGGCAAATGATTTAAAGCAATACTAAATTTCAGCAATTATCAAAACATCGTCAATTATATCAAAACAACCGCATCGTGAAACCAAAACTAACCTACCACTAAGATATTAACAAACACATTTTTTTAAAAGCAGGAACCTAGAACATATTTTTGTTTTATACAAAAAAAAAATTCTTTCTCAATCTGAATTAATTTCTCAATATTTCCAATCATTTTTCAACATTATTTCTCTCATTATTCTTTTCGCAATAATTAATTTCTTCACAATGCCATCACGAATGATTTCGTTTGTTTTTTCTTTTATTTGGAAAAATAGTCTTTCATTTACTTAAAAGTAATTTGTTTTCGTCTTCAAGGAACAATCTGAGCTTACTTTTGAGAAATGTTAGGAAATACCATTAAAATTTATGAGTTGAAACGACTTTGTTTTAACCTTTCTTTGAATAATTTTAATTATTAAACAATAATACTGAAATAGTGATCCTGTTTCAAAGGTGAATTTGTTTTGTCACATAAAAATAATGCTTGATCACAAACAAGATTTTCATTCAGGAAAGAGTTATAATTATTTCATTTTTTTCAGCTTACATTTATTTTCTAAAATTGTTCAACTGTTGTGGTGTTCCTTCTTAATTATTGTAGTTACCATGTCAGTTTTGTAGTAAACAGTTTATAGAAGGCAGTGAATAGTTTCAATCATTTTATTTTTTAATGAATACGACATGAGCTGCTTGGATAAAATTTGAGAAAAAAGGAAAATACTTGTTTTTTTTTAATTGTTACCCTCGATTATAGTTTTCTTTCTCTCTTAACGATTACTGCCTACACTTCTTGTGAACTTTAAAAAAATTTCAGAATTACAAAAATAGGGATGAGGGAATAAAGTAAAAAGAATCTGGGATTTAAAAGTTGGAAAGTATCCAGTTCTCTTGGACCAAAGATAACGAAAGAAATCAGTCAAATACGTCAATTTGGTTTCGAAAATACATTGCACGTTTAAACGGAAATAAAACCTTTTAAGTACAAAAATATATTTTTTTTTAAAAAAAAAAGACATTTGAAAGTACAAATGGGGACAAAGAATTTATATAATATTCCTTAAAAACTATATTTTTGAAGGAAATTTTGGACATAACTTTTGTTTTTATTCTGTATAATGTGTTACTGAGAATTGTGTTTTAACCCCTTAAGGCTTAAGCGGTCATTTTTTTAACCAAAATGCTTCAAAAAAGGCACATTTTTTATTGTTTATAACTAAACACCATGCTCACTTCCACCTTCACCACAAAAAAAGAAAATGTTCGACTAAAAACATTTTAGTTCCATAGACACACACTGCATCACCTTTTCCAAAAATTAGCACTGAATAATACTCTATAAGAATTAAAAATAAACGTAAATCAAAGAAAGAAAGAAAATATCAGTATCCGTACGTTGTATCCATTTGCGGGAAACTTTCAGTAGCCCGAACATTGTACGGGAAAACCCCTTAAGAGGTTAACATTGGACTTCTATTCATAAAAAGCATAAGAAGAGACTAGCAAAAAAATCTTAGAAATCTTTCTTTCAGAATATAATTTCCCTTTCTGAGTTTTTTTGTGGAATATAAAATAAACTGTATATTAAAAATAATTTTTTTAAAAAGCTTTTATCAATTTATGCGTTATCGTGTTTTAAAAAGCAGAAACCACAATATATATATATATATATATACATATATATCTTTATAGATCCTGTTCAAATTTTTAATCGCTAATAAAATACTTTCTATCCATCCATTCAAGCTCAAATACATTTTTTTAAAACTTGTAGTAGATGACGGTTGATGTTAATATAATTTCTTCAAATATTTATTTATTAATTAAATTTAAAAAATGAATAAATAACAAAATAATAGTCTAACAGCATATATTGAAAGGAAAATCCCTCGTCGTGTCCATGTAGCACAATGGATAGCGCGTCGGATTTCTAATTCAAAGGTAGTGGGTTCGAATCCCACCTGGAATAGCCTAATTTCGGAGAATGTGATTTCTTTTTTACTGTACTATTTTATTAGAATAATTAAATTCAATTAAGGTTTCAATGATAACAAACAAAAATAATAGTCCAACATCATACATAGAAAGGAAAAGGGAAAATTGCTAGGAACATCGCTTTCTATTTTGCTGCTTAATATTGTGATTCTGTAATAAGTATAAACATATTTATATTAATTGTAACTATTTGACAAAAAGTAACTAAAATAAAAATTTTCTTTGTTGACCTAATTATATATAAGAAATTACTTAATTTTTTTTATTTAATACTACTTGTTTGTTAAAGAACGTGTCATTCAGCATTTAATGAGATTTCATCCCAAGACTTTTGCTTGATATTAAATTTGTCGAAGGGAGGACGTATATTCCATTTAAGATTTTTCATTCAATGCCCGTTAATAATTACAGTTATAATTTTAATATGAATATTAGATTTTGATTTTTTACGATCTTTAAAATGCTACGACCATTATAACCATTTTACTACTAATTAAACTAAGGTTTCCTTTCTCCTTTTTCCTTTTTAAGAATGAAAAGAATAATTTCTGTGAAGAATGATGGAGTGATAATTCGAAAAAAATTGATAACTATGCATATTATATTCTTTCTTTTTTTTAAAATCCTTTTTAAATAATATTCTTTTTAATTTTTATTATCCACTAATAAAATCTAATAATTAGAATTTATACATAGTGGGCTTAAATCTATTTTTTAGCAACGACCTTACAACATTTAATCTATTTCAGAAACTAAAATCGAAAATATAAGAAAATAAATCATTTTTTATCAATATTTTCTTTTATTCCGAATCTTTTTATGGCCAAATATTTTTTTTCGTTATATTTTCTCACATTTTTTCCCCGTAGTAAATTCAATTTATTTTGAAGGTAATTTAATAAATGAGCGGCTTTTTTAAAATTATGGTCAGCAAATCAGTGGCCAAAAGGTCTCCACAATTGTGTTTTTTCCGTTAATAAAGTTTCCTAAGAATGTTACTAAAAAACTCTCTATATTAATTTATCATTGTTATCAGTTACGGAAATTTTCGACTTTGCGTCGAAACTTAATGCTTCTTTCCTTTATTCTTATTTAGTTAACGAAATAACTTAATAATAACTATTCGAGCTTATTGTCCTTTGGAGATCAGTTGTACATGCAATCTTGCACCAATCTTAGCTTGACCATGGATCAAAATCACAAAGTCTGTCGCCAATAACAATCCTGTCGTTTCGAAACACGACGTTGTGAGTGAGGGTCTAATTACGTTATACTCTGCAGCAGTGGTCTTCAAACTGTGTTCCACGGAACCCATAAACCTTAGTTTATTTTAATTAGCTTCACAAAATATCTAAATACATTTTGGTAATTGACCTCATACTTAGATGTTATAGTCCAAAAATACGTTTATATGATATTCTGATTTCTAAGCTTCGATGTTTCACCATGGTAAGGTAGCCGCGGTCATGGTCGAAAATTCGTGACTGGTGCCACCAAATCGTGAATTCGAGCCCTGGTGCCACCAAAGACTTGTCATGTAGGCTCATGCACTTTAAATTTGTTGAGGTTTGTCGTGGACTCTCGCTTGCGGAAGTGTTAGAACGTACCAAAGGGTGAGACATTTACATAAAATAAACACTTTTATTATGACTGTCAAATCGCTATCTAAATTTGACCATAGCCAGGTGAGCCATCAAGTTAGTTACTAATTTAATTATATATAAAAATAAATATAGTAATTATTGTGAATAGTAGATCATTTTCAATACTAAACGTCCTAAGCTGACCCGTCGGATCCTTTATCAAGAACACCAGTAAATTCAATTTTTTTCTTCGTATGACAGCAATCATCAACCTCTCTTTAACATCCCTCTTCATTTGACTTTAAATAGCATCTCTCATTAACATAAATCGCGGTTCCTTTACATTGGTGATCTTCAAACTGTGTTCCATGGAACCCTGGGGTTCAACAAAGCCTGTGGTTTACGAGTCACAATGAAAAAAAATCGAGAAGAAATAAATATATATGCAAAATGGATTTATATTCTCAAATAAGTTTGTATAATTACAAAATTCTAAAGCTCATCCTATTAATTAAAACTGAAAATTTTATTTATTTATAATAAATTTACATGCAACACTTTTTAAAAACTTCTATTATAATATAATAAAAGAATATTAAAATGCTTTATTTTTTTTTATATGTACTTCCTACTAGATTGGGAATATTCTATCATTTACTATCTCGGGGGTTCCATGAGATATTTTTATACTCGTTAGTTAGCACAATGTCTCGCAGAACTAAATAGTTTTCTAATAAAAAATGCACCTTTTTGCATTTGTGGGAATATCACCTATAATGAAGGAGAGGAAACAACATATCAACAGATTCGATGTTAAAATCTTAATTTAACAAGAACAGCTGCTAAATTTTAGGTTGCAAATTCATGCAAAATACACAGGATTTCTCACATAGCTAATAAAAAACGAATTTTAAACTCAGAAAAAGTAATGCGACTGCATTAAATCTCAATAAACCTAGACAGTTTTAAAAAAAAGCCCATATCCCATCTATAAAATATAATGCATGGATAGGTGACATTTGGATCACAAATTAATATTATTAATAAGTAAATTATAGTTAAAAAATTAGATTAGATTCTTTTAATATAATAAATGCAATACTTTTTTAATTGTCATTACATATAGGGCCCCTGACGTGTTGATCTACTTTAGATATTATTTTTCAGGTTTATTCTTCGAAGTATGTGCATCGAATGGGGCTCTACGAAAACACATTCTATAGTTCTAGGGGTTCCACGTAAGCGCCTTCAAACTGTAGTGGTTCCGTGAGTTCGAAAAGTTTGAAGTGAGTGAGTGAGGGAAAATGAACGTCGCATGTTTAGCAACACGAGGGCTTTTGGCGACGGTCCGCGTAATTTTGAACCATGGTCAAGTGACGCGGACGACACCTGAGCTGGTACCCCCTTTCCTAAATACCTCACCACACCAACGGGAGGACGTTTGAGCTCTCAACAGATTTAACGTGCATCGCTCCCCTACACGGCGGGTCTTCAGTAGTACTGGGATCGAACTCATGACACGCTAGCCATGATTCGATGCCTAGACCACTTGGCTACCGCGGCCACCAAAAAGTTTGGAGACCATTGCTCTGAAGCATGCTTCCTGCGTAATTAATTTATTTTGGTATGGAAATGCTTTCTGATGAATCTCGTATTAATAATTGGCGTATTTTCTAAGTGCGATATTTTTATGCGGTCCCTCTCCACCGCAAAAAATTTTTTTCTGTAGTATTTAGACAAATTTGTTATATGTAAGAATTTATGAAATTTTTTTTCGAATATTCTTGTGTGCGGTTTCTTTATGCGGTCCCTATCTACCGCACAAAAACAGGTTTAACTGCATAAATAAAACTTTAAGGTTTTAAGAAATCACTAGAAAATTATTATTATTATAGTACTTAAATTTTCAAAACTTACAATGGAAAGCTGGAATAGAAATAAAAAAATTACTGAGACCCTTGTGCTTGATATTTGTTATTAAGAGATTTTATGTCGGGTACCGATGAAATTGACATTAGTTTCAAGTCTCTCCGTTTTGTTATATCCAGCCTATTTCTTCTTTTTAGCAGCAGATCATTTATGACACTAAATCCCCATTCAGTTAAATACGACTACACTAATATACGCTCAAAATTAGTCCATTTTCGAATTGCTCCCCTTAACAATCAAATTACCCCCCTTAACAATCAAATTACCCCTTGTGGGGGCGTAGACTCCACGTCGAGAAACAGTGCTCTAAAGCAAATCGAGGGCTATTGGCGATGAACCTGGAAATTTAGAACCATCAACTACATCCGAAATAACACTCCATTGTGTAAATTTCGGCTTAAATCTGTCGAAACTTTGAGCCTCGACAGATTTAACTGACTCAGCCTCTCTACACGGTGGGTCTTTAGTAGCATCAGGACTCAAACCCATGACTCGACAACGCAGGCCACGAATTCATGATTATGACCACTAAGCTACCGCGGAAGCTGAATCGACGATTTTAGCTAGCAAGCAAAAACCTGAACAATTTTCTTTCAATAAAAAACGTTCAATATTATTTCCCTGTATCTGTTTTCACACCAAATTTATATTAATTGATGGATTGCTTATCAACGCTGTACTTAGAAATAACATAAATTTTGCATCACTGTCAAGGACAACAATGCAGCTGGTACCGTATTTTCCCTACTTCATCGTCACGACAACGTGAAAACTTTCAGCTCAGTGAGGGATTTGACATGTCTCAGCATTTCTACACGACGAATCTTAAGTGAATTGAGGACTCGTACATGGAAACCTTTTGAGAAACATTCCCAGCCACAACCTCGTGGCTATGATTAATTTGCTACTGTAGCGGCTTTCTATAGTTTATGATTTCAATTTTTGCGATTAAATTCTTTTAAGTCTCACATGCGCTAAGGAAAAAATTAGTAGCTTTCTCTGTAAATCCAAATGTTCATAAATGTAAATTGCTCTTAGATTTTGTTGTAGCTTTTATAGAAAAATGTTTATGTGGAACTTACGTTTAATATTGTCAACCGATTTCATGAAATCAAAAGACGTCGCCAAATTGCACGATATGCAGGCAATAATGGAAACCGTTTCTGCGCATGTTCGAGCACAGAAGTAATAGCAATTACAACCTTTGGCGACATTTTTTGATTGGCGATGTCTAATTGTTTGGCGAAATTGGTAATCGATATAACACGTAAATACCGTTCGTGTGTCTTTGTAATAACATATGAAGAAAGCTGTAGTTTGAAAATATAGCACTTTTGGGGAAATTTCCCCTTCGAAAATGTCATCCCGTTGTATCGAAAGATCAAAAGAGTATTATGAAATTAAGATTAGGGTTATATGTAAGGACATGAGAAGATCAAGAACCAAAGTGGTTATAGTGATT